AGGCTGAGAAGAGATGAAGGTGGGTAAGGTTTGGGTTATTAGAATGATGTTTAACCTTTGAATATTGTGGCAAGAGGCTGAGAAGAGATGAAGGTGGGTAAGGTTTGGGTTATTAGAATGATGTTTAACCTTTGAATATTGTGGCAAGAGGCTGAGAAGAGATGAAGGTGGGTAAGGTTTGGGTTATTAGAATGATCTTTAACCTTTGAATATTGTGGCAAGAGGCTGAGAAGAGATGAAGGTGGGTAAGGTTTGGGTTATTAGAATGATGTTTAACCTTTGAATATTGTGGCAAGAGGCTGAGAAGAGATGAAGGTGGGTAAGATTTTGGTTATTAGAATGATCTTTAACCTTTGAATATTGTGGCAAGAGGCTGAGAAGAGAGAAAGATGAGCAAGGTTTGGGTCCTTTAAAATCATTTTTATTCTTCAAATTACTGACTGTTATTTTATCATCGATTAATTGTATGCATTTGTCTGTTGCAACACTCAGTATGAAGAACTGATTGAAAGTAGTGGATGAAATCACTCACTTGTGTGAACCCTAGCAATAATTATTTGAATTAATTACAATACTGATGGTATTATTATTGTGTGACCCATATATATATTAGGGATCCTGAAACTAAAAATGTCATGGACCCACAAGTAATTTGGTGCATAGATAGTTTTGAAAAATGTTTCAAAAACAGGTGGAAACCATTGTTAGTTATAGGCAGGGGTCTGCTGGAGCTGATGTTACCTTAGCCTTTTCTGTAGCCTTCACATTCAACACAAAGTATTTACTGTTAAAGCTGGTTCACTTCTTAAATATTACACTATGTGTGCTCACGAAATCTAGAGTGTAATCATCTTAGTTTTTTCTAGCCCTCAGCCTCCTCACTGGGAAGAGACTGTTGCTACCCCCTAAGTATTTAACAGCAGGAATAATTATTGAATTGTTAGTACTTCACCTATTCTAGAATGTTTGTGGGTTTTTTAGTGCTGTTAATCTATAGGATGGAGAGTATTGAGTACCAAATGGAATCGTATGCAAATAATTAAGTAAACTTGGTTATAGTTGGGATCTTGGTATCGTATCTCATGCTGTGTTTAATCTGAGGTTCAGTTGACTTTGGTACCATGTTTAACTTTCTTATGGTAGTCACGTTTATGTTTACTTGTAGACAAGGCTTAGTGAACTACAGAACTTAGTCATGCGGCTGCTGGAAGAGAGGAGACACCTGCACGGCAATCCCCTGGAACTCTGCAATCACTCTGGCCAGGCAGCTGTGGAAGTAAATGGCAACGGCACTGAAGGTATACATAACGCAACTTCGTTAATGTTTGGACGACGACAAAAAAATTAAGAAATGTAATTTATAGTATTAAAAAAAACGTTAAGTTTTAGTTGATAGCTAGGTTTAATACAAGACTTATGTAGGATGTCAGATAGTTTGAAGCTGTAAAGAAAGTGATAACTGAAGTCTGTTTTAAGGAAGATACAGACATGTTCGTGTAAGGAACTGCTCTCTTTTTTGGTCGTTTATTATGTGACCCAACGTACGAAGTATTTTTAGTTGTACATAACTATATTGTTTACAGAGCATTGTTGGTGATCAGTTGTACATAACTATATTGTTTACAAAGCATTGTTGGTGATCATTTATGCACAACTATATTGTTTACAAAGCATTGTTGGTGATCATTTATGCACAACTATATCGTTTACAAAGCATTTGTAATCAGTTATGCACAACTATATTGTTTACAAAGCATTGTTGGTGATCAGTTATGCACAACTATATTGTTTACAAAGCATTGTTGGTGATCATTTATGCACAACTATATTGTTTACAAAGCATTGTTGGTGATCAGGTATGCACAACTATATTATTTACAAAGCATTGTTTGTAATCAGTTATGCACAACTATATTATTTACAAAGCATTGTTTGTAATCAGTTATGCACAACTATATTGTTTACAAAGCATTGTTTGTGATCAGTTATGCACAACTATATTGTTTACAAAGCATTGTTTGTGATCAGTTATGCACAACTATATTGTTTACAAAGCACTGTTTGTGATCAGTTATGCACAACTATATTGTTTACAAAGCACTGTTTGTGATCAGTTATGCACAACTATATTGTTTACAAAGCATTGTTGGTGATCAGTTAAGCACAACTATATTGTTTACAAAGCATTTGTAATCAGTTAAGCACAACTATATTTACAAAGCATTGTTGGTGATCATTTATGTACAACTATATTTACAAAGCATTGTTGGTGATCATTTATGTACAACTATATTTACAAAGCATTGTTGGTGATCAGTTATGCACAACTATATCGTTTACAAAGCATTGTTGGTGATCAGTTATGCACAACTATATTATTTACAAAGTATTATTGGTAATCAGTTCAAATAACTCTATTATTTTTGTACAAGAATGTAATACTTTTGGTAATTAATTGCTGTTTGGAATCAGATAAGTGTTAAAATATAACAAGTCAAGAGCAATTCAGTCCTGTTGTAACAAATTGATTGTTAACAAATACAACTTATTTTGAAATATATATACTTATATGTTAGAATGCGGCTTTAAAGTTTTTATTCGTATAATTTCTACACCTTAATTATAATTTAAAATACATCAATTTTTTTTACAGTTCTTAAAAATTGCTTTAATGCTCTGAACATTTATATTTTGTTATTTCTCTCAATAGATGAGACTGAACCTTCTGAGAACATTAAAAATGTACCCGTCGACGACGGTACAGTCATTGTAGACGATCATGTTCAGAAGAGTGATGATCAGACAGCAAAGAAAATCATGGACCTGTTTACAGAAATTGAAAGCTCAAACCTCATAGAAAAACCCGTCCCTGACACATTCCACCCGTGCCCCGTTTGTTCGGGTAGACTCCTGACTGTTTGAAGCTATGAAACAGTAGTAATTGACATTGTGGTTTGTTTAGAAGTAGGTGGTACTATAATATCTTCAAAACCTGGAGTATTTTACCTATGGAATCCTATGTAACACCACCTGGTGGTGGGAAAGGATAGGAAAGTAAGAAGTAAACTATTTGTTACAATTATGCAAATATAAAAAAAAAATATATATATATTATTCACTCCCTTTGGTACTTTCTTCAAAAGTTTGCAACAAATCTGTATTCATTTTATAGGAGTTAAAAATGGTAAATAAAGTTCGACCAGCTGTGTTGATACACGTCAACATACGATACAGGGAAGAGTACACCAGAACAAAAAAACAAAAAAAATGTGTAGGTGACGCTTGTTTAAGAGTTAAACTTCATCCTTATTTGAGAATAATACTTAATTTTTACAGTTTGCGATAGCTCTACAGTGTTTGTAATGTTAACTAGAACAGCGTTTGTTTGTGGATCTTGCTTTATTTTTTCATTATAATCAGTTAGTTGTAGTTTGAATTTTATATATATATAAAGTGTAACATTTAATTTATAATTGAAAATTGTTTGGGTGATTTTATTTTGTTCCATTGATTATTAGGTGTCTTACAAGTTGTTAATTGATAATTATCACAGACATCTATAAATAGTAAAGATATTTAGGGCATGAGTTTTTTTTTTTTTTTATATATATGTACGGTCATTGTTCTGGCTGATCTAAATCTTTATTTATAAATTTGTAAAGAGGGGAATTACATTGAGCCGTAGTGAAAAGTTATTCTGGATTTATATGTTAATGCATGTAATAAAAACTTGGCAAAAACATGCTTCGGTAACTGAAGTTTAATTTCATCGTGATCACTTAGCAGAAGACACTTGAACTGAAGTTTAATTTGATCGTGATCATTTAGCAGAAGACACTTGAACTGAAGTTTAATTTGATCGTGATCACTTAGCAGAAGACACTTGAACTGAAGTTTAATTTGATCGTGATCATTTAGCAGAAGACACTTGAACTGAAGTTTAATTTGATCGTGATCATTTAGCAGAAGACACTTGAACTGAAGTTTAATTTGATCGTGATCACTTAGCAGAAGACACTTGAACTGAAGTTTAATTTGATCATGATCATTTAGCAGAAGACACTTGAACTAAAGTTTAATTTGATCATGATCACTTAGCAGAAGACATTTGAACTAAGTTTAATTTGATCATGATCACTTAGCAGAAGACACTTGAACTGAAGTTTAATTTGATCATGATCACTCAGCAGAAGACTTGAACTGAAGTTTAATTTGATCATGATCATTTAGCAGAAGACACTTGAACTGAAGTTTAATTTGATCATGATCATTTAGCAGAAGACACTTGAACTGAAGTTTAATTTGATCATGATCATTTAGCAGAAGACACTTGGACTGAAGTTTAGTTTGATCATGATCACTCAGCAGAAGACACTTGAACTGAAGTTTAATTTGATCATGATCATTTAGCAGTAGACACTTGGACTGAAGTTTAATTTGATCATGATCACTTAGCAGAAGACACTTGAATTGAAGTTTAATTTGATCATGATCATTTAGCAGAAGACACTTGGACTGAAGTTTAATTTGATCATGTTCACTTAGCAGAAGACACTTGAACTGAAGTTTAATTTGATCATGTTCACTTAGCAGAAGGCACTTGAACTGAAGTTTAATTTGATCATGATCACTTAGCAGAAGACACTTGAACTGAAGTTTAATTTGATCACAAACACTTAGCAGAAGACACTTGAACTAAAGTTTAATTTGATCACAAACACTTATCAGAAGACACTTGAACTAAAGTTTAATTTGATCACAAACACTTAGCAGAAGACACTTGAACTAAAGTTTAATTTGATCACAAACACTTATCAGAAGAGACTTTTGAAGACTGTAAGTTTAATTTTGTCATGAGCAGAAGTTATCTTAACCACAGTGAATATAATAAATTAAATATCCTCGGTGGTTTTGATGTTTATTAAGAAATGCAGCACGTTCATCAGTTTTGATTTTTTTTTTACATTACTTTTGAAAACTTACACAATACAGTACACTAACATTATTGTTACAGCTGTGTATATTTAACCCTACTTCTCCTGTATTGCCTGCGTCGATTCTCAATGTTATTATTATTATGTACAAATCACCCATGCTATTAGTTCCAGCTGTTGTGAGTAATGAATTAAAAGGTATTCTGAGTAGTAAATAACATAAGGAAAATTCAGATATTATAGAAAGGTAAGAGGAAACCTTTAAATTTTAGTATAATCATGGGCTTGTAATCAGTTTATGTCAATGTTAAATAAACTGTTTATTTTTCTAATACAATGGAACAGGAGTGATGTCGTTAATAAATTTTCCAGACGTCGGCAGTCATTTGATAATGATTCTTTTGTTTGTAAATTTCTTCATTTTGTGTTTCTGTTTTGTTTTTTTTTTTACTAGTTGATATATACATACATATAAGTTTGTAACGCTAACATTTTTTCTCCTTAAACATCAAGCATCATTTTCTTGGGATATATAAAAAAAAAAAGCAAGAATGCTATTCTTGGTATTTATTTGTATTCGCGTAATAAACATTTAAATTCTGGGCGAAGAATTAAAGGATGTTATTCGTTATACTTGTGATTTTTAACGCGTAAAATGATGCGAAGTTGGGACTACTTTGCGACAACTTTTGTTTGTGACATTGCATATCAAATATAAACAAATTACAAATTTGATGATACAAACATTCAAAGTAAACATTAGCAGAACATAACACGGGTAGTTGATGTATGTTTCTTGATAACGTAGTGCCATTCCTTAATTTTTACTTTCACGGGTTCTAATTAGATGTATGTTTCTTGATAACGTAGTGCCATTCCTTAATTTTTACTTTCACGGGTTCTAATTAGATGTATGTTTCTTGATAACGTAGTGCCATTACTTAATTTTTACTTTCACGGGTTCTGATTTCTGTGTTTATTTTTCCTCGTGGACTAATGTTGTTGGTTTTTTTCATGGAGCAAGTGATAATATTTAAAGTTTAAAAAAAGGTGGACAAGCAGGGTGCTACATTCATTCACAAACTGAATTCTTTTGTATGTAGAAACGTACTGCTAACCAAGTGCCTCGTTGATGGCAAGGTAGGAGGCTTGGTCGAAGTTCTATAGGATGCATATTACAATGTGATAACAAAACCAAAATGTTTATTATATATCTAATTAGCGAACTCTCTGTAAAAACCTGGATTGTATATTAATTGACAATTAAATAACAAAAATAAATAGTGTCTAATAATAAGCCCAGAGTTTTGTTTCTTTCATTTTTGTATTTTTTCAACAACATGCCAATATAACATTGACTTTATAGTTTCTAAATGATTTTGAAACTAAATTTTTTTTGAGACTGGTTTTGATCTTGATGTCTTTTTTTTTTCAAAGTTTGCAAGTAAATTCACGAATTGTAACTTAATTCAAGTGCTAAATACAGATGGTCAGGAGTGGCCTAATGGTGAGATATCCAACTCTGAATCCAAGGGTTCATGGTTCACTTCCTGTTTTTGGAAAAAACGCTATTTGTATTTTGGCTGTTAGTGAGTTATAGGAGTGACGGTTCAATCTTGCTATTCCATTAAAATATCCCTTAAGTTGGCGGGAGGTGCTATCGACTACTTTCCTTCCCTCTTGTCTATCAGTTCATATGAGGAATGACCAGTGCATGTAGCCCTTGTGTTGCTTCGTGCAACTTGCAGAAAGAAATGATTGTATTTTTAAAAGTTTTCTGCATTTAATCATTGTAGTTTATTACAGGTGTGTGTGTGTGTGTGTGTTATGTACAAGACCTTGTAGAATTCACAAACATGCTTAATTTGTAAAGAATATGATACTAGAATTACAAACCATCACTACAGAGTTAATTATTCGTGCTTTGTCATTTCAATCTTTGAGGGGTGAAAGTCATGTTGGTATTTCAAAAACAAATTATAAATCTTAAAGTGAAATTCTGTTTTGTACAAAAGAAGGTTTTTTAAATAATTTTCTACGTGTTGGAGAATTTTTCATACTGGAAAGAAGTATTAAACATGTCAAATTGATATAAACATTAGCAATAAGAGTATATTTTGACACAGAATTGTTTATTATCATCAGTAACAAGAGTTGATGTTTTTCTAGAAATATTGTCTTTTTTTTTTTTGAGACATTTGATTAACATTGTGTTTAATTTCAGCTACGTTTCACTAGTAACTCATTGGTAAATTAGAGTGGCTTATAACACTAAAAATCCAAGATTTGATTCCCCATATTGGACATAGGGCAGTTAACTCTGTGCATAACAAAGAAACTCGGTTAATTTTCTATTTATTTTGATCTGTGAAATTGAGTATATTTGGTGGAAGTTACATAATTAATTGGATCCATTGTTGTTTTTTTTACTGTTTTAATAGACGAGATATTGGTGATTTCATTGTTTTTCGTTAGTGTAGAACTTATGTGCACACATACACACCACTGTTGAAAAATGTGTTTAGAATATCTAGCAAAAAGTCCTCGTGGTCGAGGATGTTCTTGGTCAAAGAGACGGACAAAGTCCTCGTGGACGAGGATGCTGTTGGTCAAAGAGACGGACAAAAGTCCTCGTGGTCGAGGATGCTGTTGGTCAAAGAAACGGACAAAGCCCTCGAAGATACTGCTGTTTGACTATAATTTCTATCGTCAGTAGTTTTTAAAATTAGGACGGCTATACTGAATCCTAGGGTTCTCTGACCTGGCCGTTTAGTCATTCAGTAACTTAGAAATGCACTAAGTTAGATTTGGTTTTGAGTTTTATTCACCTGTTGGTGGTGTACATTAAAATATAAATCATATTTGATCATATTGAATAAAATGAATTACATTATGATAAAATGGGCTGATGAGAAAAGCTATTCAAAACTATTGACCATAATATTGAATGTGTTATCCTGCGACAAGAACAGAATGCGTTAAGACTCCACAAGGTCCAGTTCCTTCAACAAATTTAAATTACTGGTGTATTTTTAAACGTTGTTTTAACTGAGTTTATATAATATATATATATACACAAGAATGCTGTGTTCCCTTTTTTTAAGTACGATTTCATGCTACATGAAGACCCGTATTTAGCACATCGCATCCTCTCTTCACGCCTCCTTCTTCCTTCCCGTCCCACCGAATATGCTTGCCCTTTCAGCCTTGGTGGCGTTAGAATGTGACGGTGAATCCCACTATTCGCTAGGTAAAAGAGTAGCTCAAGAGTTGACGGTGGGTGGTGTTGACTAGCTGCCTTCCCTCTTAGTCTATCACTGCTAAGTTAGGAACGGCTAGCACAGATAGCCTTCGTGTAGCTTTGCGCGAATTTTTAAAACGGACCCTTCCTGACCTTTTCAACTAACAAATCGTTGCTTCACTCCATATCACGTGATCTTTAAATATTAATGTACACTCATTTGATGACGAAAAGCTGACTTTCAGAAAATAAAGTTTGATGACGGTATGAATGGGTAATGAAAGAAACTTTATTAGCGAATAAACAACGTATCAATAAGTTTTTGTTATCAACACCTAAACTTTAATGTCCACTTAAGTCGAATTTTCGTATTTATGTTATGTATGTTGTAATAGTAAACTGGTATAGATGTAGAGAGAAAAAGAAAAGAAGAAGAAAACTGGCCAATCTATCATCTACAATCACAGACAATTTGACTCTTTCTCCAAGGTTTCATATTTTCACATTTTCTATCGCTGTTACTAAACTTATCAACAGATGGCGCTTACTGTCCATCCTTCATTTCAGGTCTCTTATTTTTCATCATTATCTTTTGTATCGACACATATTACAAAATTGACCTCAGAACGGCGTCTTTCGACCAAATGCAGAAATATAGGTGAGAGAAGAGCTTATCTTCTCTTTTTCATTAGTTTACAAGAAATTCTTTTCTAGAGCCTTGGGGGCGTTATAATGTCTCGGTCAATCCCACCATTCGTTGCTAAAAGAGTTGGCGGTGGGTGGTGCCTTCCCTCTAGTCTTTCACTGCTAAATTAGGGATGGTACTTTTTAAGGCGACATTAAATTTTGAGGTATATTAAACTGTCCAATGAAGTAAAAAAACCGGGGTGACGGGTAAAGGAAGATATTATTTCAGAGTTTAAGTGTTGCCTGGGTACTCTGACACTCCAATGAGTCTTAAATTACTTAAAAGTTGAGGTGAGTCTTTAAACTAATTAGACTAATTTAACTGTAAGTTATCT